CCTTTGGGAAACGATGATGACAATGATGGTGAAGAGGTGAAGACTGATAAAAGGGCTGGACGAGAGGAACGACTTCAACTGCTGGACGTTCCCACTGGAACCACAGAAAATTAGGATGAACTTCCTGTTCCACCAACACAGACAGACACACAGACAGGTAGACAGGTGCTGGTGCAGCCTTCTGTCGGAGAATTTGTCCAATCAGAGTCCTCCTGGCCCTGCCTGACCTTTGTGCTGTGTGCAGAAATAAGTGGAGGACTTTCAGATGAAGCTGCTGACAGAATAAAATGAGGACCTGAACTCATCATCCTCTTATTGAAAAAGGATTTTTCATCAAGGTGAAGGAGCTCTCAGAGATCCATTATCACTATAAAAACTAAACCTCCTTCATCCATCGTCCACGTGTGAAAAGAGGCCAGTCAGAGCACAGAGGTCCAGATCTGTCAGCGGCTTTTCAGTCCAGGCACAGAACCTCAGAACTCTCTGCAGCTCCTTCCTTTCTTGCCACCATTTAATGTCACTGTGCAGGATTTCAGACAGTTTTCTTTGTTCGACACAAACATGCTTTGAAAAGAAAAATTACTTCAGAAGGTCTGCTGATAAGATGTTAAATTCTGTCACTGGAGTTTATGCAGAAAGAATTAAAGAAGAGCAGCACGAGATAATTAACACGACACCGATAATTAACAGACGATTATTCACTTTGCCCTCAGGGATCATTAAAGTTTCATCTTATCTCCAGACTGCAGAGGAGGCCGAACTCACTTAAAGACACTTTAGATCAAACTGAAGAAGCGATGTGAGGAAATCATGTCCTTAACCCTTTCGCTTCACATATAAATCAATCACTTTCAGGGACAAGATGAAACATGAGACATTAAAATAAACGAAGGTCTTGTAATCAGTCAGCGCTGCTCATGATTCGGCTCATTCACTGTTGTAATGTAATTACATTACAACAGAAATGTAATCACTTTGAGCTAATTAAATTCCATCCGAATGCTGATGTGAGGGGATACGTTCGGACATATTTGCATCACTAAAATAGTTCATGCTGAATATATAGCAGTCAACATGTAAGAAAAACTGTTGGACTGATTTGCATGTAACACAATGAAGCTGTCCCTACGTCTGGACACGCCTCGTTCATTCAGCAACCTAAACTCCAGACAATGTTTTTGATTGGTTTCCTTGTTTTAAGCCAGTCAAATCCTTGTGCATCGCTCCGTGTGACCTGACTCGTCCACAGCAGGGCAGGGGGCCTTCAGCGCTGTTAATTCATCAATAATGTTGTTAATTCAGAGGAGACTCCAGCGTGACTCTGCAGAGTAAAACGTTTCCAGCTGTGAAAAGCTTTCTGTCACTTCCTGCTGAGGCTTTCTGCGGTCTGCACTTCTGCTGTATGAGGACGTGCGGGACTACCTGAGAATTCTGGAAGTTCTCACTTTTCTTTTCTTTGATAATTATTATTATTTGATTATGACGATCTCCCATAAACAAGAGAAGAAACTGTCAGGTTTTTTTATTCGATTATTTTCTAGTGATCTTTGAGCACATCAGCACCAATCACCCAAACTACCAAGAACAGTGCCAGATATGAGTGAGCAGGCAACACTAACAATGATTATACAGAACAGGTTCAAACAGAGCAGAGGGAAAGGCAGCCATTGCTTGATATTAAAAACAAATCTTCCACCAGACCACGATGAGGATGGTGTAGGGCGGGGGTGTCCGATTCCAGGCCTCGAGGGCCAGCGTCCTGCCAGTGTCACGGTTTAGATCTCACCCTGGGTCAACACACCTGAATCACATGATTAGTTCCTTGCCAGGCCTCTGGAGAACTTCAGGACATGTTGAGGAGCTCATTTAGCCATTTAAATCAGCTGTGTTGGATCAAGGACACATCTAAACCCTGCAGGACACCGGCCCTCGAGGCCTGGAGTTGGACACCTGTGGTGTAGAGTGCTGGGACAGCTTTGGAGGATTCGTTCAACAAAGAGCTTCTCTGTTAGCAGCCTGTGGTAGGAAACTGAAACGTGTGTAACAGCAGGATGTGCAGACAGACACAAAACAGCATTTACAGACAGATCCTCCGCACGTTAGCAGAATTCAAATAAATCCCGCCTACACACAATGAATCAGCTGACAAAGGTCTGACAGCACCTGTGGTCAGTTCAGGTGTGTCACGTTACCTGCATCAGTTGTGCGTGCTCAGGTATCCACACAGCTGGGGGGTAGAACACCAAAGGAGGCATGGCCTGGTATGTTGCAGCTGACCAGCTGGCCAACCACAGCCACTGGGGGGAGGGGTCAGTGCTTACAGACAGCCAGGGTGTGGTGGTGGTTACCATGCCAGCTGGCTGACCTTTAAACCGGGTGACTGGCAGCATCATGATGACATCACCATCTGAGTGGCAAACGGGCGAATTAGGGCTGAGCAGTATGATCACATGGGTCAAACCGTATGCTAAAAGAACAGAAAAGTTAATGCTGAGGTTAGCAATCTGCAAATAAAAAATACACAAAAAGAAAACATTAACGAGTCAAACCCAAGTTGAGCACATGCTTTCAACAGCCGTAACTCATCAATACGTGACATCAGCTTCATCAGCGCAAAGTGACACTTCCACAGAAACACTGCATCTTCATCCAAAATCAGTCCAGACAGATACCAACACCTCCGAATCCAGACCAATAAATATGTAAAAGTTATTAAAGAACTAAATGTTAAACTGAAGTCTCCAACTGGTGTTTGAACTCCACTTTAACAATAGAATATAATTCTACTGTTTCTACTGTTGCATTTAGTATACTCTCTTCATGGAAACCATTACTGATCCAACTGATTATCAATCCGATCATACTGATCACCTCAAAATCATCATCACACCTGTCAGAGTTGTGAGTAATTTCATTTTGATGGAAAGACAACCACGAGCATTTCCTCTTCTTTGAAACACTGATGAACCTTTAGCGATTTATTGATCGGAGCAGGAGCCATTTTTATGGGTTGTTACCTTTCGTGTTTTACCATATGGTGTGTCTATGTGAACGTTTTTAAGGTAGCGCAGGTGTGTTGTTGTTGGGAAGGAGCAAACAGTTTGTGACCACTGTGCTGTTCTCATGAATGGTGTTGGATGAAGAGAACTGTTAACAACAAATGCAACTGATGGAAGTTGAATAAAGATGTTAAATGGAGAAGATAAGTACGGCTGGAGTTGTTGGACTGTAACAGGTTTCATTCATAACAGTGGCATCGCGTCACCCCCACCAACGAACACCTCAGAGACTTCAAGCGTAGGCTTAGCCTCTACAATCAGGATCAGCTGAAGCTTCTTTCTACTGAATCCGTCCAACCACAAACAGTCACAACGTGTTTCCGACTGATGTTCCTCACAGGTTCCTCTCTGTCCTCCTACATCTTCTTCACCACGGACACGGTCGGCAGCAGCAGTTTAGGTCACACGATCAACTACAGATTCAAACATTTTCCTTCACTGATCAGTTATAAAAACTATCATTTTTATTATAATTTTAATCGATCATCAGTCACATTTTATGATTGTAAATCAATACATGATTGCTGTTCTTAACAAATGAATTTTATTATAAAAAGAAAATGAGATTTTGTGTAGCAGCAAAGACGCACACTGAGCTCCAAGCCGTCATATTGGATTAAATACATTTTTATTTCACTCCTCTCTGTTCTGTTATCATTTATTATTTCACTAATGATTTTTACTCTTTTTTCACATTGTATATTGTAAAGTTCTTAAAGTAAGCCTGAGGTTTCTCACACTTGGATTACAGATTATTGTTTGGACTCAGGTATTGATCAGTAATCACTATAAATATCATATCAGAATTAGGAACCGTGAAGTTGGTGCTGTCAGGCCGACACACAGGCATGAATGTGGCTGTTGAATCTTTTCTGAATAGTAACATTCAACTGAAAAATAATCACTTAATATTATTTTATATGTAACGTGACGGTGAACATGGTGTCCTCACACACACACACACACACACACACACACACACACACACACACACATTAATGACAGAGTTTGTATGTCTGTTTATTAAAGTCAGACTTAAATAAAAACAAACGTGATGAAAAATATCTGAAGTCAAAGTCTTCAACAGTCCAGCTGTGAACAGCTGCTGCTGAAGATGACGATGATGAATGGAGGAGGATGATAATGCAGACCTGCAGCTGACCGGAACATCACGGTAAATCCGGTAAGAGTCACCTACCGACCCGCGGAGCTCCTCCGGCGTCTATCCGGTAAACTGCTCCTCGCACCGGCGGGACCGAGCCTCTGCTCTCCGGTCACGTTCTTCGGGCTGCAGCTCAGCCTCCAATACGATTAAGGTGAAAGCACGCGCGCGGCATGACGTGAAATACCGACAGACAGACGCAGACAGACCCGACGGACACACCGCGCGTGTCACTGCGATGCCTGATGGTTGAAAAACACCGGAGCCCGCGTGCAGCTCCGCGTCGTCACGGAGTCTCCCCCCTCCCCCCTCTGTCCGGTACAAACGGATTTGAGCTGAGCTTCTCTCAGATCAAAGAGCCGCTCCCCTTCACGCGCGTGTGCGTGTAATAATCGATGGTCCGTAAAAATCAGGAGCTTTGAGTTATTCGCGCTTATCGTGTTTGTGGTTCCCGTTGTCCTCCTCATCAGTTTTACTCGCATCTTTTCGTGAGTCTCGTTTCTGTGCTCGTGTCTTCGGTCTCCTCCCACCTGTTTGTTTTGCTCACCTTGTTTCCGCTTCCATTGTCTGTTTGTTAGTGTTTCCTTCTCTTGTGCTCTGTTTTACTTTGAAAGACTGTTTCAGTTTTGCTTCCTGCCTCCCCCCTCCGGTACTGATGCCTTTCACCTGTAGCTCCTTCCCAGCACTTCCTAAGTTGGCCAACAGTTTAACCTGCATGTTCACTGAAATGGGCGGGGCTAGAAGCAGGGTCAGGATCTCCTGCCAGTGGTTATCTAAAACTGTGATTGGTCGGAGGCTGCCAGACTCGCCCCTTTGATTCTGATTTCTGATGTTAGTGTTAGTCAGGGGTGGGGGAACTCAGGCCTCACGGGCCGGCGTCCCTGATCCATCACAGCTGCTTCAAATGACCTCCTCAACATGTCTTGGCGTTCTCCAGAGGCCTGGTAAGGAACTAATCATGTGATTCAGGTGTGCTGACCCAGGGTAAAACCACCCCTGGTGTAAGTGAATTCAGAGAGCGGCGCTGTGCCCTGGGTATGCTGAGCTCGCCTCATAGTTCAGATTGGCTGTAGCTCAGCTGGTAGAGCAGGTCTCCCACCAACTGGAAGGTTGGTGGTTTGATCCTTGTGTGCTCCAGTCTGCGTGCCAAATATCCCTGGGTGAGATGCTAACCCCATGTTGTTCTCTGGTGCACCCAAGAGCCACTACGACTGACCTTCTAAAAGAAAAGGAAAAACTCTCCACATGTGATATTTTTTCAGGTATCTGTGAATGTTTACATCTCCCACTCATTCATTGTTGTTTTTCATGTATAAAGATAATAAAAAAAGTGACCCAATCAATGAAGCTTTGAGACAGAAAACAGAATCTAACCCAGGGCTGGGCAACTCCAGACCTCGAGGGCCACCGTCCTGCAGGTTTTAAATGTGACCCTGTGTAAGCACATCTGAATCACATGATTAGGTCACTACCAGGCTTCTGGAGAACTTCGAGAGACGTTGAGGAGGTCATTTAGCCATTTAAATCAGCTGTGTTGGACCAAGGACACGTCTAAACCCTGCAGGACACCGGCCCTCGAGGCCTGGAGTTGGAGACCCCCGAGCTAACCCAAACTTTTTGGTTTCTTTAAAATAATCTGCCAACATTCACAGATTCTTGGTTCAGTGTGTGTCTTTTTTCCATGCGTCAGTCATCAAAAAAATGTCGTATGATGAGGTAGATCATAGCGGCGAGCATCTCCTCTGAAAGGGCGACAGTTAATCCGTCTGTCAATATCAGTGTGTGTTTGCAGAGATTACAGCAGAGCCGCTCGAGTCAGAAACAATTACTGATATCAGGTAAAATAAACACACTCGTCACCAGAATATGTCGGATTAAATTGTGCGTGTGCTCAGAAAAAACTCACACGTACAGAATAAACTGTCTTCATTATCGCACTAATGAGTGTTTGCTCGTGATCGACACACATGCACACACAGGTCTGATGAATCACTACGGCAGTATTTTCTAGTAATGTCACAGATTAAATCTCACACGGAGTATGACTGAGGACATAAAACTTAAGGGATCAGGTGCTAGATTGTGTCTATTTTGTTCCCGTTTTCTGTGATAGAAACTGAAACCTGAGCTCATCACTATTTTAAAGGACAAACTGATCTCTGTGGATAAAATGAGGAAGTTTGCAGAAACCTGTTTTCGGTACATGATCTGATTTTCTGAGACAAATCTGCACAAACTGAAATTCAGCCTGAAGCTTAATGACTGGCAGACTTCAGAAATGAATAAAAGATTTTCCCTGGTTGGCAGCAGAGTGGAGCTTCACCACTGATTTAATTAATTCAAATTAGCCGAGGATATCAGAGAACGTTTAACCCGTTTCATGTAAAACTGCTAATCCCTGGTGGAGGTGTAAATGAGACTGAGGCTTTGCATTCATAAAAAAACTCACTCCAGCTGAAGGCACGAGTATTAAAATAAACTTCACATGAGGCAGTGAAACAAAGTCACAGAACAAATATTTATAGGAACTAGGACAGATCAGTGCAGAGGAGGATAAATAAAAACCAGTCCTGGGAAATGCAGAGAAGTCCTCCGTACTAACACTTCATGTGTTTATTGATCACTCGGAGTAACGTCTTTCAATCAGGTGAAAAAACCATCGAGCAGCAGCAAACTTCGTTCTACATTTCCTGCTGATGAGCGTCAGTGAAGAGACGTTTTGGGCCCTCCACCTCTGTGGGGCTGATGTCAGGAGCGCTTCGTGTGACAGACCCCTGTTCTCATATTGTTGCCCTGTTGCTGCGATGGTAAATGCCAAACAGTTGATTCTGTTCGTCTGGATGTTTTCAGTGGGAGAAACATTTCGTCACATTCTTCAGTCTCAGCTGACTGCAGGTTTCCAACTAGGGCTGGGCATCGTCACTGATTTCTAGAATCGATTCAATTCGATTTGAATCTGGGAAATTTTGCCTAGACAGTCAGAAATATTATAATTCAGATCAGTACATTTACATATTTTTGTATCTATAAAAAGGAAGCTGACACTTTCCAGACTTTATCAAAGGTGTGAGCATCACAGCAGAGGCCTTTGTGTCAAAGTAGCTGAAGATAAAACACAGAAAAACATGAAGGTGATTTTCCTGTGCTGGGATTTTATAAAAATATTCTGCAGTACATCAAAAACGAAAGAAAACCATTAATCAACATATATGAAACCGAGTTACAGAGGTTTTATTAGAGACACGGCGTTTTGCATTTTGTATAATTTTAAAAAGTTTAAATTTGTTCAGTATTGAACGGCAGAAATTAGGTTTTCTTTTCAGAAGTAAGTAAAAGGAAAAAAAATCAGCCGACAGCCTGTAAACAACGTAGACTTGTGCGTAACAAGCAAGCGAATAATGCAGAAAACAGAGAGAGAGAGAGAGAGAGAGAGAGAGAGCTGTGCATGAAGTGTGATTTTATCCTGGTGGAAGCAAAACAGCAAAAGTCAGAGTGAGTTCATGTTTATGTGAAGCGTAGTTTGGATCTTCTTTTGCTGCTGGTTCGGTCAATATTGTTTGGAGAGAGATAAAACCTGCAGCTTTAGAATCAGCGCAAAAAGGGCGTGAACACAAAGCTCGACCCGCCGACACATCAGAATCAGCGAGCGTGTCCGTGCCGTCGGTGAGAAAGTCACATCTCACTGATTCTGATGCGTCGGCGCTTTGTGTTCACGTCTTTGTGCAGAAGCCGTGTTCCTGCTCTCATTTACTGTTTTAGCTGTTTGGTGGTTGTTGAAATTTTGTGAGGTTTAACCTGAGATTCTGGCGTTTCAGGCAAAATAAATTTATATTAAAAAATCGATTCAGGATTTTAATGAATCGATTTCACGTTATCCAAGCCAGAATCGATTTTAATCGATAAATCGATTATAAAAACCCAGCCCTATTTCCAACCTTATAAACAGCACCTTTACACAGTGACTGACACCAGCCCACTGAATGAACAATGGGCTGGGAGGTCAGGTCCTCGATCATTAAATATGCAAATTCTCATGGGCACTGATCAACGACCGCGGTTCTGTAACTGCACTCTATCGGAGCGCAACACCCTACAACGGATAGTAAGAACAGCTGAGAAGATCTCCCCTCCATCACGGACACCTGTCACACCCGCTCCGACCGCAAAGCCACCAGCATCGTGGAGGACCCCACACACCCTCGCACACCCTTCAGCCTGTTGGCTTCTGGAAAGAGGTACCGGAGCATCCGGGCCCTCGCTGCCAGACTGAGGAACAGGTTCTTCCCCCAGGCCGTCAGACTCCTGAACACTCAGTGCCTGGATGAACACACACACCTTCATAAATCAACCAACCACTGTTTGCAAAACCCACTGCCACTGCTGCACTTTTCTATTGCACTGTTGTGTTTGTGTCATTCTGGGTTTTTTGCACACTTGTCTCTCACATTATGTAGTCCTGTGTTGATTGTCTGCCATATGTAGGAACGTTGGAGGAACGTTGTCTCGCTGTCTCGCTGTCTCGCTGTCTCGCTGTCTCGCTGTGTACTGTAACGCTGACCATGGTTGGAACGACAAGTTTGCTACTAGAATTGTCTTGACTTGTGCTTCCCTGGCCGCTGTATCTGTGGGGACGGCGTTCGCTGTGACGCCCAGTTTGTATTAACGAGCGAAGAAGAATAAAAGAATAAATCAGTATGGTGACATACAAAAGTTTAACACACATGACAACTCACACTGAGTTAAAGGCCAAAGAGAAAAGACGTGTTTTTAAAAGCACGGTAAAAACAGCAAGAGACGGCGCCTGCCTGACCCCCAGAGGCAGCTCCTTTTACATGTTACGAGCCAAAAGTGCAAAGGCTGTGTCTCCTGTGGATTTTAAAAATGTCTTCGGGACAGTCAAAGCTCCTGGTTAGCAGATCTACGTGATGGCATGTGAGGGTGAAGCAGGTCCATTTCACACCTAAACCAGTAAATGCTGGTTTTTTCATGTGGGGCCAAATAGGAAGGTCAAAGAATACAGCTGGAGCCACTGGATTTAAAAAGCTTCACCTCAGTCACTTTTCATTAAAATAGACTTGACATCATCAGCATATACAGTCAGGGAAGAATGATTTTGTAAGTTTGCCCACAAAGAAATGCTCAGTCCATCATTTCTATGGTAGCTTTATTAGAACAGTGGGAGACAGAACAATAACCAACAAATCCAGAAACATGCATTTCAAAACAGATTAATTCACATGTTCATGAATGAAACAAATACATGATGCTTTGGCGCTTGGTGGCAAAACCTTTGTTGCAATCACAGAGGTCAGTTTTACATGTCGGGGGTTTTGTCCTCGATGCAGATCCTCTGCAAGTCATTGAAGTTTTGTGGCTGACGTTTGGCAACTCGAACCTTCAGCTCCCTCTGCAGATTTCCTAAAAAAATTCAAAAAACGTTAAATGAGAGGGCGTGTCCAAACCTGTGACACACATTTACACATATATAGTGTTTGACACTGTTAGACAGGAGCCATGCACACGGCAGCCTTGATGTGTT